CCAAAAAATTTTCCAAATTAATTGGAGTATGTAATTGCAAATCAATTAATTAATTAATAATTAATTAATAATCAATGAATAATTAATCAACAATTAACCAACAATTAATTAATAATTAATTAATTTTTGATTAGTTTATTTATTAGCAAATTAATTCCAAATTAATTGGATTATGAGACAATTACAATAACTAATAGTCTGCATTGAAATAATAAAACACCGATTTTTCTATATTTTGAATTATTTTTTATCTCTCACGGGACCTTCTATGGGCCGAAACGAATGTTAATTAATTTATTAATTAGCAAATTAATTAATTATCCAATTAATTATAAATTAATTGGATTATGAGACAATTACAATAACTAATAGTCTGCATTGAAGTAATAAAATACCGATTTTTCTATATTTTGAATTATTTTTTATCTCTCACAGGACCTTCTATGGGCCGAAACGAATGTTAATTAATTTATTAATTAGCAAATTAATTAATTATCCAATTAATTATAAATTAATTGGATTATGAGACAATTATAATAACCAATAGTCTACATTCAAGTAATAAAATATCGATTTTTCTATAGTCACACTTCCCTAGTTTCCCTTGTTAGCTATATACAATAAAACTTATTTTAGTGATAACAATTAATATTAGCATTAATTTTCATGAAATATAAATTTTTTTAAAAAAATCCAATAAATGAATAAACATTTTTAAGGCAATATATCGTATATATTTTATAATAATAACAATAAAAAAAAAATTTTAAAAAAAGGAATGAAAAAAAGGAACAAAAATGACATATGAGTTACGTGCAAAATAGCAATAATAAGTTTTAGTAATAATGGTTTACTAACAAATAAAGTACAAACTATTTTTTTCCCATTCATAATAACATAGTAAAGCTTTAAGATTAATAATATCAGAGTATGTAGTTGTCCTGAAATTTCTGATTTTTCTAATAAGAAATATTTTGTTGTCATTCGCCTTTTAATTTTAGATTTTTTCTCCATATATTTTTGTTTTGTTTGAGTTCAGACTATCCTCTTTTCTAGAATACTAATGCATGTTTTTAATATAATCTGTTTGAACAATCAAAAGATTTGGAATTTTAATCAAATACTTTTTTTATTTCAATTAATAGTTCACCCAGAAAATTAGTTTTAAACATAAATGCCAGGATGCACATTTATTGTGTTTTCATTCAGAAACTATTGAAAGCCCACTTAAAAGCATTTGATAAAGGAAGTCATGAACTCCATTGCAAAATAAGTTTATATAAACATTGGTATGAAGGAATATTAACTAATTGATATTGAGTATGCAACAGTACCATTAAATTGTCCTAAATTTTGATCTCAAATTTTTTTTTGTATAACTCAGTGCACAATTAATACAATTCTACTGTAAGAAAAGTAGCAACTGTTTTCAGAATTAAGTTTTAAATTAAAAAAAAATAGTGTATTTTATTACTTTTATGTGATAAAACTTGCTACTATTATACTTAAGTAGAGTGAATTATACTTTTTACAATTTGTTCTTTGCCTTTTTAAAAAGTAGTCTCCTATCCTAGTTTCTTCTTTAGGCAACTATGAGGTCTGCAACTTGCTTATTAATATAATGCAGAATTAAATAAAATAAAATACAATGTAAATGAGTTCTGAAATTGTTTCTTAACTTAAAGAATACACTTTTAAAATATTACAAAAATGAATAAAAACATAATACAACACATATTCGTTTACACTGATAATCAGGACTTAATCCAGGTTTTCAATTCTAGTACCTATTTTTGTGAAGAAAAAAATTATTTTCGTGAAAAAAAATTTTTTTTTGTGAAAATTTAGTATTGCTAAGAAAAAAAATAAGAAAAAATACATATGTATACAAAAAGTACAATACTATAAAAAACAGTCACATATTGCGCAAGGAATTGCTTACAAGACAGCTTGTAGATTAATTCCATTTATTAATTCAATGTAAATTATACAGCCAGCCAGCATAGAAATTATGGAATTTACTATACAGATTAATATGGTTAAAAATTAGATTTACATAAAGTTTAAAAAATTTTTTTAACTTACTTACTAATAAAATTTATTGAACTTATTATGATTAAGAAATTATTATTTTGATATTGTGCTAACTTTTACTTTTGAATTAATGGTGGAAAAAATAATAGAAATACAGAATACATAGATAAAATTATAATAACCGCTCGGAAAACTATTCAGCACTTTAATTCCTTCAAATTTTTTTTTTATTTTCGTGAAGATGCGTTTTTTTTTTTTCGAAGTTTGTTGAAATACTGATTTTTTATTTTGTGAAGGTACCGATTTTTTTTTTTAAATTTTGTGAAGGTACCGTTTTTTTTTTTTTAATTTTGTGAAGGCACCGAAAAACGGTACCAAAATCGACCTGGATTAAGCCCTGCTGATAATATAAAAAATTCTAAGCATAATTAATTAGAAAGCATAAAGTACTTAGAAATTGGATTTGATGATGCTGTACTTATATTAAGCATTTTTTGAACATTTTGCTCACATTTGTATAGATATTTTTGCAAGTACTATCACTCGTTATTTCTCGCTGGATTGCTTTATAAAAATGCTATAGTGCAGAATTATATAATTAATAACATTATTTAGCTGCATAAAAATTATTATATTAGCATTAATTGAGTTTTATGTTAGTTTACTAATTGAATTTTATCTTGTTTTGCTTTTTTAATCCATTGAATTAAAAAAAAATTAATGTATTGAAGGCAATACTGCTCGTCTAAGATAGGTACTCTGCCAGACAATCGTCTGGAGCTGGGGCGGTGACTATGGTAACGAGGTATGATTATTTTAAGTAGGGGTGCGGGGTCCCTCTTTAGGACTGGTTTCGGCGAGAGAAAAGGAGACCTCTTCATTGAAGCTACCCTCCCTAAAATGCCCTCTTCTTGTTTCCATAGCACCAGACTGCCACAGACTTAGTGGCGGTCACAATACCTAGGTATTAGTGATGTAACGAGTAGTGATGGGGCCGAATACCGAATATTCGGCCAAATTTTAGGCCGAATACTTAATTTTTAAAAATTTCTCTTTTGATTGTAATTAAAGTGATTTTCAAATTTTAAATTAAAAATGAAATAAATATAAACAAAATTGCTTTTTTAATTTTTGTACATTAAAAAAATTTTTAACAACTTGATTTATTTTCTGTAATAATTTAAATATCTTGATGCCAATAACAAGGCAATATGGCTTTTATAAATCTAAATAATTAATAATAGCATATTTTAGTTATAGTTATACTTGTAATTTATATGCTATTTTATTTAAGATAAGAAGTCATTACTTACTACTGTTAAATGTATTCTATTTTTTTTGTCAGAAAAATTATTAAAACTCAGAAAATTAAGAACTTTTTGAAATTTTAATTTTGTAATTAAATAATTTTCAAATTTTAAATTAAAAATGAAATATATATTAACAAATTTGCTTTTTTAAACTTTGTATATTTTAAAAAAAATTTAACAACTTGATGTATTTTTTGTAATATTTTAAATATCTCGATGCCAACAATAATGCTTTCACAAATCTAAATAATTAATAATAGCATGTACTTCATTATTCGGCCGAATAACTTCAGTATTCGGCTAGGCCGAATATTCGGCAAAAGGGCCGAATACCGAATAGTGGCCGAATATTCTTTACATCCCTACTAGGTATCTTAGAGAAACAGTATAGTATTATATTTATGTTATATAAATAATAATTACAGAAAACTTGAAAATAATAGAATTTTAAAAAAGAACAAAAATTACATGGGTTGCATGTAAAATATCAAATTTTAGCACTAATGGTTTAATAAAAAATAAGGTTTAAACAACTTTTTTATTTATTTATTTTAACATAATAGAGTTTTAAGTTTAATAACATCAGAGATTATAATTCTCTTGAAATTTCTGATTCCTATAAGTAAAAGTAGTTAATTTTCATGAGAAAATTTATTCTATAAAAATTAAATAAGAACTGAATGTTTTCAAAAAAGTTTAATGGTGAAATTCCTGCTAGCATCCATACTAATTTAGTACCACTTAGAAACTTAAAACATCTACAGTAGCCCTAAACCTATGTTTTCATTAGAGTGGGGTTGAGAAAAAAATGAATTTTGCTTTTGTGCAGAAAAGTTGCACATAGTAATAAGAATAAAAACGCCATAAAAAATTTTGGAAAGCGATTAATAGCTCCTGTTTGAGCATTCTATTAAAAATAAATAAAAGTTTGAAAGAAAAAAAATCACACCTTTTTAAAGTTTCTTTTTTTTTAAGTTGGCTAAAATTTTTGAATTAACATGCTTCAGTACAATTCCATGAAAAGAAACACATAAAGGATGAATATTTTTCTTCAAATTAAACCTACATATTCTACATGAATTTTTAGTTAAAAGTACTTTGAAAACTAAACTAGAAGAACTTTTCATATTTCTCTGCAATTTTCAGCAAATTCTCTAAAAAATAACATTTTATTTATAACAAAAATTCGTGAATTTGAATGCCTATTCAGCGATCTGTCCAGGCCGAATTTACTACCGTTTAGCGGTACCTTCACAAATTCAATTTTAGGAAAAACGGTAGTTTCACAAATTCAACTTTAGGAAAAACGGTAGTTTCACAAAATACTTTTTCTTAAAATTTTATTTCTGTATCCCTTAAGAAACGATAAATCTATATTTTCACCATGTTTTTGTGTTGATTTTTTAACATAATTTTTAATTTTTCACAAATTATGTCTAAATTTTCACAAAATAGGTACCTTTCAGAAAAACCTAGACAGAGCCCTGCTATTTCCAAATACTAATTTATAAAGAAATTTTGATTGCTTTGTTTAAGTATTATTTTTTATAATATTATTAAGTATCCCTTTATCAATTGATATATTAAAAAAAAGATAAATTTATAATACTATGATAAAAAAGTGTCCATTTAATTGTTCTTTGAAATGTAACAAGAGTAACCAAAACTTTAATCCAAAATTAGAAATATTTTTTCAACATCTAAAATGTACCATAAATAATACATAGATGTGCTGAGTTCTCGTATTTGGCCAATGGTTTGAAACAGATTCACATAATTCATCTGCAGTTATTTTAAGAATAATTTTGTGTCAAAAGTAATAAATTAAATATAATTTTGTAACAAAAAAGTTTTTGGTTAATTTAAATATTTTCGTCACTCAAACTAACAGCATTAGCTACATTATGTAAATTTTGAAAATAATAATAAATTAGCTACTCAAATTCAGCATACCTACATCTCATCAACTTAACAAATATTACAGACCAGAACAACACATGCTTGTTGCAGTGAATAAATTTAAAGAAACTTTAAACCTAATAACAAATTTAAAAGCTTCTAACTTAGTAAGAGAACGTTATACGTTGGGAGAAAATTTTTGTCGCAAATTCTCTTTAATCAACATTATTTAAAAGAAAGAAAAAGGGAGTTCAGGTAAACCTAGAGTAAGAGCCATAAAATGTTAATTGTAAAAAAAAAAATTGAAAAATATGTAAATGCAAACAAATTATTGGATGAGAACTACTACATTTGTATCCCTGGTTCTGTAGGAAAAGACCAGGATGTGCATTGGATCTTGAGGCTGACAGACAGGCTCAAATGGCCGCCTCAAGATTTATCAGTGGGCACCTCAAATGCATGACCTTTGAATGCGGCCGCAATGTCTTTCCAACGTGCACCAAGTGCCATCTGATGCCAGCCTCCCCCGATCATATCCTCGACTGCTTGGGGCTCGCTCTTGCGGATATCCGTGATAGCCCACTTCTGGTGCTTGATTTTGCTAGGGTCCACGGTCTCTTGGATTTGATCTAGCTGTCGCTAGATCCTGAAGGATTGGACACAACAACAACATTGTGTAATTCTGAGTTAACTTCCCACACTTTATTTTCAGTCTGATATTTTAAAAATTTCTTTTCAGTATTTGAAACTTCTTTGCTTACTCTAGGATCGTCTGAACTCACTTTTTCTATACTTTATATTTTAGATTAATTACGAAGGTGAAAGAGAATTTGCAACGAAAAGGTTCTCCGGTGGTACGACATCCTCTTAAATTTGGTAAGTACAGTACACACAAAAGAAATCCTAACACACAGAAAACCTTTTGATCTAGTGATCGTATCTTCATGCACTGGAATTCAATCGAAATAGTTTAAAGAAGCGATCCTTTTAAGCAATTAAACCTAGCATTACTACATTTTAAGCAACAAAATCAAACACTAAAATGTAATTTTTCTGACTTGAACCTACCGTTTTTTAGACGTAAATTGCATACCTGATCTACAACATATGGGAGGTAACCACACTTCGGAAAATATGGTCCCAATAGCTTAGTCAAGAAAGCAGTTGAAAATTTGGACCTCTAAATGATAATTTTACTTTTTGAGAGATAGATCCCAACTAGAGACCTCTTAATTGCAATAATAAGGTTTATCTCCCATATGAACAAGTAAGTATCAATTTAAATTAAATATCTGTGAAAAAGATTGATTGCGTAGAGTGCAAGAATGTGGGTTTTTTTCTAGTATGAACAAGAGAGTGTTGATTTAAATTTGATTTACAAGCAAAACCTTTATTACACACACTGCATGTATATGGCTTTTCTCCAGTATGAACAAGAAAGTGCTTATTTAAATTAGATTTCTCTGCAAAAGACTGATCACACAGGCTGCATGAATAAGGTTTCTCTCCAGTATGAACATGAGCATGTCTATTTAAACTAAATTTCTGTGTAAAAGATTGATCACACACACTGCACGAATAAGGTTTCTCTCCAGTATGAACAACAGAGTGTATATTTAAACTAGATTTCCGGGTGAAAGATTGACCACACACACTGCATGAATAAGATTTTGGTTTCTTTCCAGTACGAACATGAGCGTGTTTATTTAAACTAGATTTCTGGGTAAAAGATTGACCACACACACTGCATGAATAAGGTTTTTCTCCAGTATGAACAACAGAGTGCATATTTAAAGAATATTTAAATGAGAAAGTTTTATCACATAAGCTGCATGAATAAGGTTTCTCTCCAGTATGAACAACAGAGTGTACATTTAATTGATATTTCAATAGGAAAGTTTTATCACATAAGCTGCATGAATAAGGTTTCTCTCCAGTATGAACAAGAGCATGTTTATTTAAACTAGATTTCTGAGTGAAAGATTTATCACACACACTACACGAATAAGGTTTCTCACCAGTATGAACAATATAGTGCTTATTTAAGACAGATTTCACTAAGAAGGTTTTATCACACAGGTTGCATGAATAAGGTTTCTCTCCAGTATGAACAAGAGAGTGTTGATTTAAACCAGATTTCTGTGTGAAAGATTGACCACACACACTGCACGAATAAGGTTTCTCTCCAGTATGAACAACAGAATGTGCATTTAAATAAGATTTCAATGAGAAAGTTTTATTACATAAGCTGCATGAATAAGGTTTCTCTCCAGTATGAATACGGTAGTGTCTTTTTAAAACAGATTTCTTTGTGAATGATTGATCACATATACAGCATAAATAGGGTCTCTCTCCAGTAAGAACAAGAGCGTGTTTAATTAAATTAGATTTTTGAGTGAAAGATTGATCACACACACTGCATGAATATGGTTTCTCTGCAGTATGAGCAACAGAATGTACATTTAAGTGAGATTTCTCTGAGGTTTCATCACATACGTAGCAAGAATCAGGTTTCTCCACAGCATGAACAAGGGAATGTTTATCTAAATTGTCTCTCTTTCTGAATGTTTTCTGACACACATTGCATGAAAAAGACTGTTCTACTGAATGAAAATCATAGTTTTTACTTACATTACTCTGATCAATATCAGTTTTATCAAACATACTGCATGTATAAGACTTACCAAGTTACCAATAGAAAAAAATAATAAGTTTGTTTTTAATCTGGTCCCGTTTTAGAACGCTTAATGCTGTTTGGCTTTGCCCGCTGTGACATGGAAGCTTCGTGCGTTCTTTGCTGAGCTGAATTAAAATTGTCTCAGCAGCCTTTACTTCTTTAACATGATAATCCTACGAAAGTGCACCGGCAGGAGAAATTAAGGTGCTCAAAGGCAATTCTTACGCATAACTTAGTCCTTCTTGCAGTCGTTTACGCGAACTTGAAACTCTTCCTTTTTAAAAATAGGTTCAATTAATGTTAACATAACAGTGTTAATATTTATTAATGTTTACTAATATGTATCGTATTTCGAATTAAGAACTTACGTTTTAAAAATGTAAAACAATTAGATTGTTTTATGTTTTTTTCCTTCTTTCTCTTTAAATTTCTGATATCCCTTATATTTCTTATATCCTTTCCGTAACTTATATTGAGGAGCACAACATTTCGTGACCCCTTTGATAAACGTTCTCTGTCTAATAATTAATAAATAAATTTTGTACCATCCCTCCCTGCCTAAAACCTGTTTTAATCCTTCCACACTGCAACGACGTTAGATATATATATATGTATACTGGGTAAAAATAAAAAACACAGGAGAATTATTTTTTTCACTTATATTTTTTGTTGTTGTAATAACCTCTCATAATTTCCAAATTTTTGAAATCTGATTAGTCTACAAACTTTTTTTTATCAACTTACTTTTGATTTGATCGAATTTAGTGTAAAATGGAAAAAAGATATATAAAAAACAATGCCTCACTTGTATTGCATAGATTGCAACATGAGAGGCATAAATATTATGTTAAGGTATTTATGCCTCTCATATTGCAATGGAAAACATGACTAGTGGAAAAACATGATTTCCGACGAAACTTTCAAAATTGAGTTAGTTAGTGATTTAAAATCCTTGTAGTCTTAGCTTACTAAAAATATTTAACTTTTGTTTGTACTTTATTTATTTACCAAGTTATAGTAGGTTTCTGTTCCAGCTGACAACACTGGATAGACTGGTGAACTGAAGTCTTTAAATGCTTTTATCTCAATATCATATTTTTTCTCATTTTATACCACCTTAAACACCATTTCTCAATTTTTTTTTAAAAAATAATTGTCAACAATTTTAAATCAGGGATTACGGTTATTGGCGATCGAAATTGGCTGCAGGTGGCGTAGAGCAGAACTCTTTTCCTATGGCAGCACTTCACATGCTTTCCCCATTAGCGTGTGGAAAGTCATAGAGGAAGGAAGTACGTTAGTTTCTCTCTTGATTTTCATATAGATTAAAATCTTTTAACTTGAAAAACTATATGGAACTGAAAACTACATTAAACATAGTTCTAAAGAAAAGTATCATGGAAATTTTAAAAAATATTTTTATTAAATAAAAAGGAAAAATATTAAGAAAAGGGAAAATATCGTAGTACATTCCTATATAACTGAAAAGAGGAGGAGAGGGAAGGGAGAAGGGCTAAAGGCATGAAACCGGTCTCTCCCCAGATGGCGTATTCGAGTGTAGCGATCGCGAATAGTTCGCATGCTTTGAACTACAAACTACGAGAAAAACGCAGAATTTCATTTTTTATGCATGTTTTTTTTTCTTTTTTTTTTTGGAAAGACAAGCTAACATTTTTTAAAAATTTTGCTTTTTTAACTACATTGATGCCTAACTAAGTAGTATAAGCATTTGCTTTTAAGAAAATAATTCAGAACACAGTTGATTGACTTCTAAAGAAATCCCTCAAATGCTTTTTGTTTTGGCCGATAGAAATTTTTTTTTACAGTGTTTAGAGTATATGTTAAAATATGCCTTATTTTTGTACCTAAAAATGGCCATTTAAAAAACAAATAGAATAATACTTATTTTTTTACTAGTTTTATAAGTTTTTATACTTACTAAAACAAATAAACTATTTTTTTAAAAAATTTTATATTAATATTTTAAAAAACTTTGTCGAAACTAGTCGGATTAAGTACAAAAATTGAACTTTTTATAACTAATTTAACTTTTCAACTGTAGATACTGTCGACTTGATTTTGATCTCGTTCAACCTATTCCAGAACTTACTTGATTTGAGGAGAATTTCAGTCGAGTAAGTAGGCTTAATAAAAAATTGCACTATTATTTATGTCTCATTTCACTTCATATTTACTAAATCCCTTGTAACTTCTGAACTATTACACCTATAGATGGTTTTATTTTATATTTTATAACCGTCGTTGAACAGCCGACCCAATTTCTGTGTTTGCGACTACTAATGTTCAACTCCGTAGTGTTCAACCTATGGATAGTTGACCATGAAAAGCTAAGCTCAGATGGCACTATAGATTGAAATTCCTCGCAATACTTCCGGGTTACTACTTTTAACTGTTGTTTACGACTATAAACTTGAAAAAACGCACAATCCAATATTATTATATTTGTAGTGTTAACAATATAACACTGTTTTTTCAATCTAACGAAACAAACAACAAATGAAAGACATGCCATCACAATTTCGATCCTCTGAAGAGGGGAAATAATTGTAAGGGAAAGTAGCTAACGTTGGAAGGAGAAAAGAAAATTATGTTCGTTGAATTAAACAATTTGTTTCATTTAAATTTAAATCCGGGATACGCTAAAAGTATTATGCTCAATTTACAGAAAACACACGAATAACAAAAGCTAGAAAGCGTAAAAAAACAACACACATGGTGTATCACTTTTAAAGTATGGTGTGTCCCAGAATGCGGCGTAGATGGTATTTCACGGATTTGACACCTGCTTCCCAGATGCCACCCATGTGAGGCACTGACGGAGTGTTGAAATGCCAACTTATGTTATTGTCGGCTTGATGATGGGATACTTTATCTGTGTGGGTTATAAACCTCCGGTTGCGATCCTCGTCTAGTATTTTGGATGCACCTACAAAATTAGTGCCAAAGTCACTGTAGAGATCAGTACACTGCCCTCGTCTACTGATGAATCTCTTTAGAGCAGCAATGAATGCTTCTGAAGTCATATCACCCACTAGCTCCAGGTGATATAGCTCTTGTTACAAAATCTTACATCAATCTTCCAAAGCTAGACTTACCTACTTTCTCAGGTGATTTATTTTCTTGGATATCATTTCCAGATTAATTTTCCGCTACTGTACGCAATAATGAATTATTACCGAATTCTCAAAAATTGCAATATCTTAAATTATCTGTTAAAGGTGAAGCACTATCGTTAATCAACTCTATACAAGTTTCAGATGCAAAGTTTGAAAAAGCGTGAAAAGCACTTATCAATAGGTATCACAGTAAAAGTCGACTTAGTTTATTGTCATTTAGATAAATTATTCACGCAACCCAGTTTGCAAGTCAGAATGTGGGGAATACTAACATGAATTAAACTAATATGAGCCATCGAGTAACGAAATAAAACTAAATTTCCAAAATAAACTATTTATTAAAAACTTTAAAATAAAAACTGAATTAGAACATACTTCAAACTTCCAAAGTAGTTGGGAAAAAAGGCTCTGCGCCCTGAAACTCGCTTAAAGCCAGAGTAAAACATGTTGTCGCGAAATCGCTAATTCAACTGAAGCAGGCAAAAATATTCTAGTTAGCAAGAGTTTCAGAACGCATTCGTAACAAATCAACAAATAAGAAAAGATTTCTCCTAATAGGTGATTGTTAGATCATTCAACTACAGCTGAACATACCGCCGCACTTGAAGTAACTAACTTCAACAATTAATAAATTAAATTAAACAATTATGCAAGAAAATGAAACGCATCACAGTTTCCTAAACTTGTTCAAAACATTGAAAATACTGAAAACACTTCAGAGTAGTATTTCCAAGAAGTATTAAATTTAGCAATATTAGGAATATCTAGTAGAAAACTTAAATAAGAATAAAGCTAGATTGAATCCCAATTATCAACCGGTTGGTTTAAAATTCGTAAATTGTCTAAGCATTCAGTTGATGAATCCAGAAGTTTCCTTAAACCTTTAGGAAAAGTTTTTAATAAATAGTTTATTTTGGAAATTTAGTTTTATTTCGTTATTCGATGGCTCATATTAGTTTAATTCATGTTGGTATTCTCCACATTCTGACTTGCAAACTGGGTTGCGTGAATAATTTATCTAAATGACAATAAACTAAGTTGACTTTTACTGTGATACCTATTGGTAAGTGCTTTCCATGCTTTTTCAAAGTTTGCATCTGAAACTTGTATAGAGTTGATTAACGATAGTGTTTCACATTTAACGGATAATTTCAGATATAGGAAAAAAAAAAAAAAAAAAACGTTATTTTGATGGAGTTAAATAAAAGGCGTCGCCGTTCTTTTATGTTAAGTTCTAACAATATGGGTTTTTTTCGGTTATTAGTTTTTTATGTGAAAAAATATGTGTACGCAAATATTTCACGAAACACAATAGTGAGAAATTTTCACAATGCATGATCTTTAATCCCAACCCAATGATGCTTTACTTGAAGCCACTACGAAAAAAAAGAGGAACATAGTTTAATTAAAATTCGTGAAATAAATTTAATAGCTAAAAGAGCAACAACAACAAAAAAACATAAAAATTGTTTTCTCAAAATACACTAAATCTCTCAAAAATCTCATCAAAGATGAATTTTTCACTCTGTTGCATAAAGATACAAGTAATTTTATGCAGCTGTTGTTGAACTCAGAATCAATAATAATTCAGAGATACTGCAAATGAGCTAATTATCTAAGAATTTGAACGAGACTATGTCAAAAAATAATTCATTAAGTGCGGGCTGATTTATATATAAGCAATAGGCAGCTAAAACGGTGGCTGCTGCATGAGTACAATCAGCTTGTGTTTGACTAAACAAAATATTACTTCAGTTTTTTTTTACAGAGTATTTACATAATAAATATCTTTGGCAGAATTTTTTTTTGAAATATTATGAACTGAAAGCTTTTTGTTCTTAAAAAAGTTTCATCATATTTGAGCAAAAATCTTTCATAACTCAAAAAGTATTGCTGTTTATGCTAAAACATTATCACACAGCAGATATAATCTCAAGTAACCCAAAAAAAAAGTTCAAAGCGATATCTTGGCTCCCCTTAATTTGACGGTAAAAGATCTCACAATCCCCATCTTTGGACTG